CCAGCTCTGCCGGTGCCCCTCACTCCCGACCCACAGCCCCTGCCAGCCCAGCCCTGCTCCCCCAGCTCTGCCGGTGCCCCTCACTCCCGACCCGCAGCCCGTTAGCCCAGCCCTGGGCTCCCCCCAGCTCTCACTTCTTTCTCTCCGACACCGTCTGGGCCACCAGCTCGTAGATTTGGGCTCCGTTCTCCCAGCTGAAGATGACGTAAAAGGCCTTGCGGTCTGGCAGGGGGAGGGGCCGATGAGAGGGGGGCTCCGCAGTGCCCCCCCCCGGCTCCCCAACCCCCCCGGCCCCCCCCCCCCCTCCCCCGCCCCCCCTGCCCCCCCCCCTTCCAGGCCCCACCCAATGCCCCTCCCGCCCCCAGCACCATCCGCTCAGGCTGCCTGTGGGGGGGGGACTGGACTTCCCACAATGCACTGGGGCAGGCCCCCCCCAGGAGCAATTGGCGAGGGCTCAGCGAGGGCTTCGCCCTAGAGTGGCCAGATGTCCCGACTTTATAGGGACAGTCCCAATATTTGGGGCTTTTTCTTATATAGGCTCCTATTACCCCCCCCCCCCGTCCCGATTTTTCACACTTGCTGTCTGGTCTTCGCCCACAGTTGGAGCATCGCAGTAGGGGGGCAGGGAGCCCCCCAGGCTGCCCCCCAGAACCCCGCAGGCTGCAACCCGAGAGCCGCCCCGGCTGCCGACCTGTGGCCACCTCGCGGGTCATGGCGGAGCTGAGTTTGATGATGGGACTCAGGACCTGCCGGGGCTCGGGCGTGGGGCCGGGGGGGCGGCTGTGGCAGCGAAGAACCAGCCGCTCCTCTTGCCGCTGCAGCAGCACCAGGATGTCGTCCAGGAGCAGCACGTGCACGTCTGGGGGGTGGGGGGGTCAGCGAGGGAGACGCTTCCCGGCCCCCAGAGCCCCCCCATCCACCTCCCGGCCCCGAGCCCCCCACCCCTCCTGCCCCCAGTGTCCTCACCCCCCCAGTCCCGACCCCCAGAACCCCCCATCCACCTCCCGGCCCCGAG